GTGCACTGACAAGTCCTCACATGTGTCCACTCATGTTTGGCTCAAGTAACTGCTAGACGCGCTGCAGACCCTGCTCGGAGCGCTCGTACCGATCGCTTGTGGCAAAAGGTGTGGTGCGCTGCTGGGATAACCGGGACAGGAAACCTAAGGGCGATTCTACCTGTACGCACAAGCCTAAACCTCAAACCTTTAAACCTTAAACCTTTAAACCCTAAGCCCTAAGCCCCTTAACCCTAAGCCCTAAAACCCTTGACCCTAAAGCCTAAACCCCTCAAGCCTAAACCTTAAGCCTCTAAACCTTCAACCTTTAAACCCTAAGCCCTAAAGCCCTTAACCCTAAGCCCTACAACCCTTAACCCTAAAGCTTAAACCCCTCAAGGCTAAACCTCAAACCTTTATACCTTAAACCTTTAAAACCTAAGCCCTAAACCCCTTACCCTAAGCCCTAAAACCCTTAACCCTAAAGCCTAAACCCCTCAAGCCTAAACCTCAAACCTCTAAACCTTCAACCTTTAAAACATAAGCCTTAAACCCTTAACCCTAAGCCCTACAACCCTTAACCCTAAAGCCTAAACCCCTCAAGCTTAAACCTCAAACCTTTATACCTTAAACCTTTAAAACCTACGCTCTAAACCCCCTTACCCTAAGCCCTAAACCCCTTAACCCTAAGCCCTAAAGCCCTTAACCTTAAAGCCGAAGCCCTTCAAGCCTATACCACAAACCTTTAAACCTTAAACCTTTAAACCCTAAGCCTTAAATCCCTTAACCCTAAGCCCTAAAACCCTTAACCCTAAAGCCTAAACCCCTTTACCCTAAGCCCTAAACCCCCAAACTCCTCAACCCAAAGGCTTAAAGCCCTTGACCCCAAACCTTAAAATGCGTTCTGAGCTGACTTGAGGAACCTCTATTCTGACGAGAAGCGCTTAGAGCTGCTTGCGAGAGTGTCCTGATCATTTTTGACACAGACCCTTTTGAGGGTGTCAGTAGGGCAAAGGAATATAATCCCTATAGAATGTATTCCCTTATTCCAACCCCCAGTAAGGTATTTGGTTTGTAATTTTGTTCTCAAAGCCAGGCTGCGTGTGTGCCCCCAAACATCTTGAACTTTGTGTACTTTTTCAGGTCAATTGTCGAAAGTTTTCCTCCGGCGTTTTGCCGAGCCCAAGGTTTCGTGGGCTCGTAGTTGGTTGCCATCCACCTTTCTCCACAAGCATGTCAAGCTCACCACCATCCTTCGCGAGCCGACAGAACGACTCCGTTCGTATTACTATTACGACAATGCTGCTTGTCCGAAGCCTGCTTCACGGGATCTTCCTAGATTGATTTCTCGTCAATTTAAAGCTGCCACCGCTAATCTCGACAAGTAGTTTTCCTAGAGCTCAGAGTCTTGCGGATGCACTTCAGGCTCTTTTCAACCTTCCCTACAGTGTTGGCACCCCTCGTGCCCCGAGCCGCAATGCTTGTTTCGTGACTGTCTTAGGGAACTGATCCTGATGAGGTTTACTCGTCACGTGAAGGCTTTGGTGGATTTCTTGCATTCTGCAGGGACTATGTCGCCGGCAATTGGACGTTGGAGCAGTTTGAGCGTCAGAAGTCGTTCTTCAGAGGCGCCAAGTCCCTGGCGATTTTGCGGCGGTCCTGCTGCGAGTATGAGAGATATTTGGGTGAAGAATCGCTGGAGAAATCTTTGGTCACGCTCTCCACTATGTTTGATCTGGTTGGACTGCAGGAGAAAATGGATGAATCCTTGGTAACATTGGGCAGGTTGTATGGCCTTACGCCGCCGGAGGTTGCAAAAATTGGTCGAAGCGTGCCATGGCCCTGCAAGCCGTAGTATTGCTTTGTTGGTCTTCGATAACAGATTAAAAGACATGACAGCAAGGATATACGTTAGATATTATATAGTACATATTGAACAGTATGTCGTAATATATATATAGATATTAATGTATTCGGTGGTTTATATTCTGTACATGCCAGAGGCCCTCAATTGGTTTTCATTCTGCATGTGTCGCCAGGTGCCACCTGACTGCAACAGCAACAGTGACAAGCTGGACTGGACAGAGGAAGAACTGAGGTGCAAAGGGTTTTGGGATGGGGGAGGGATCAATGCAGTCCTGAAATTTCTGGTGAGTCTGCAACTCAAAAGTGAATCTCAGTTTTTTCCTCAGGCAAGCTCGGTGGCGCATCAGTTGACTTCAGCAAATCCCTGACAAACCCCCAAATGCAATGGGCTTTACGAAAGTAGGTCCGAGGTCTAGGGTCTAAAGTTCACTCAGGGGGCCCTGCTTTGCGGGCCTCAGCGACCTTGTGGAAACTGACAGAAATGCACGCACAACAAACCGAGCTGCCCTTTTTTTTGAAGTTGGGTTGGGAAGCAAAGGCCAGGTTTCCGTCCGAAAGGGGTTCTCATCCAGGATAACACTCCATGACATATGGTATATATTTGTATAGAGTCCTTATAATCCGTATAGAGACTTTTGAAACTGGGCCCCCCAATTCTTGCAAACAACCGTGGGGTTGAAACCATCCCGTGGTCTTTTTGAAAGGCTGGCCCGGTACGTGTCCAGCAAGAGCCAAAAAATTTATGAGCTTGGCCAACAGCTGTTCCAGAGGCATGGTCGGGCAATTCATTTGTTTGCTTTGAAGTTGTTTGGTTCCGTACCGGAAACAGAAAAGCATTAAGAAGAGTTTATGTCTGCAGGATTCTTTGACCCTGCCGCGTGGTTCCTTTAGAACAGGTTGCTGGTTAATCTAGATTACCCCATCTATTTGATCTTTTATTGATTCTTCGTTTGCCTTGTTACCACGGCCATGGTGTCTTACCCATGCCCTACGCTCTCATATGCCAATAAAATTCCTCTGAGCACCAACTGCTAGCTTCATTATGTCTGCCCAGCTCGAGTTTCCTACACCCTAGCCCCCCATGATTCGAATTATCATAGTTATGAAGATTTTTTTTACCGGTACACCTATCATTGCTAGTATTATCAGTACTATTCCTACTATTCATGAATTATGGAAAACCCAGGAAACAGTATATGAAGCTCTTCGGCAGTGAGCAGAATTTGCAATCTGCAGTGGCGATCTTCGTAAACGAAAATGCCTTGAACTCAGATACCTGCTGTCGGGTTATCTCACATAGGCTGGGTTTTTACCCATCGAGCAGCGTCCACACTGGGGGGCCCAGTTCAAAGGAACTTACTAGAATAGATGTCATGCAAAAGCCATTCTTCCAATTGTGCTGTTTCTACGACAGCGTCCACAGGGTTTCAGCTCATGATGTGGGAAGTGGCAGTATCTCATCATCTCATGTTGGGTCATGTGTAAAACCAGCGTTTACATGGAGAATCATACGAAATTTCAGACTTAAATCTTGTGATGTTCTTCTCAAACCGTCCGCAGCAGAGCGGGAAAATCCACCCTTACGTCGGGTTGCTCTGGAATCAGCGTCTACATGGGGATTACCATTTTCTGATGTGTAAATATCCCGCTGATGTGCAATCTTCCCAACACCAGCGTCCGCAGTAGATAGTGTGTATTCTCACCGAGTGATGTGTGTTAATCCCGGTGCAAGTAGCCGTCTCGCTGTTTGGATGTAGGGGTTTCCAAAAGTTCGTGGCCCCTTCTTCGGTTCTTACCCGCCGCATTTGTGGAAACCTGCTGGTTTCAAGTCCCAGGTGCTAGGCTTGTGGAAACAGATGCACTTCATGACGACCCCATTGACCTTCATTGGAGTAACATGTGAATCAGCGCAGCATTCATTTGGCGTGCAGAGCCTTCATGACTGATTGGAGCATGCTGTGGAATCAAAGCGCCACAACCACGAGAAGCCTAATGCAGGAAATGTTTGAGGTCACGCCTTGAAGCTGGTTGGAAACATGCATCAATGCACAGACAAAGCTGCCCTGGCCACAATGTGGACTTCATGCCCTTGCTTCGTCTGCTTGAATACTGTGCCGTTCCATAACATCCTGTTGATGAAGCAGCACGTAAAACGACCTCTCTGCGGCAACACCTCGTTCACAGTGATTCTGTAGTAGGAGGAACCATTCAATTCCGTGACAAGGGCTTGAAGCAGTAGGCCGGCAACAACACTTGTAGCAAGAGGAGGGGGAGGTTCCCGTGACAATCCCTTGTTGCCGGACGCGGTGGCTGCTGCAATCTGCATTGTAAGCCGCTGGTGCAGTTTGATCCAAAGAGTAGGGTGGATCCGCTTCGTGCTCCCACGCCCGACTGCAGAAGCCTGGCAAAGCATTGCAAAAGTCTTTGATGAAGCTTGAAACTTCGGAAGGGAAAAGCCCAAGCTATAACAAGAGTCCTGAAATTTCTCATAATTGCGGTTATGATGCCGCTAGTGTAGTGTTACCTAGCTAGCTTGAAGCAATCCCTTGAGCCCGAGCCCTCCGAGTTGATGTCTGAAGTGTGATGTATCACTTGACTGAAGATCTGCTGACAGCTGCGGGAAGCTCACACCCAGACTGCGTCCAAAGCTTTCAACCGTTGTCACCCAGGCCGTCGTCGCCCAGGACTTTTCAGATTCCACTGTTTCTGCATGCATACGCCGGTGAGCTGTCGGCCCTCATAAGCTGGGGCATACATGGATCGAGGGAATGCCTCAGATTTGCAGAAGCAAGCTTGGGCCTCGAGCTTTCTCTCAAGACCTTTCCTTCTGAGCAGGCTGTGCTCGGAACGAAATAGACGGAGCCACAAGAGCTCATTAATGTTCCGCCAGTTGCAAGCGCTGAAGGATCGGCGTTTAGCCGAACTGGGTCTCTGTGCGAGATTGGATTGAAGTCACACGTCGCGCCGCTGCACGGGAGTCAACAGGCGTTGGTGCCGGTTCCAGGACAATGATATCTCTTATTGTCCATGCGTCGACTTGTGATTGCACGGCTAGTGTCGGCTTTAGAGACTTAAGAGCACACTCCTTTCATCTTTGTATTCCGTATGGCAGCCTTTCGGTCTGTCATAGGTTCCTGATAGCGGGACAGCTGACAAATCATGGCCCTAGAAGTACGAAGCTTAAGCCCGCTCCGCTTGGCACCGGTACTTGCCAGCTTCATGCTGCTGTTGCAGACAAGAAAGACATTGCGCAAAGAATTCTCCCAAGCTATGCGCACAGTAGACTTTCCCAGCTGCCACGCAATGAGATAAACCAGCCTCAAATAAGGAGCCTGAGACTGTTCCTACAGCAGCAAGAAGCCTTCATATCACCAGACTACCCGCACAAGCATTCTGAGCACTCCGCATATAGCAGAAAACCAGAGGGACATCTGCCATCCTTCCAGCTCTTCTTCAAAGGAGCCTGTGGTTGCCGCTTGTCAAGTGCTAGAGGATGCTACAGGTACTTTTTCTTCGCAGTGACAGGTTTCAGTTGCTCCTGCTGCAGGGATTGCAGACTTTGTTCTGAGTTCCACGCTTGGGCTTGAGACCAGTTAGGGTAACGTGCTAGAAGTTATTTGGAGACTTAGTTGGACGCAACCAGCCCATCAGAGACAGCACACATAAAGCAGCTTGGCGTTGCTAGGATTGTTCCAAGATCTCAGAAGCAAGTAATTGGCAGACATGGGGCATTGTTGGGCATTGTTCTCGCTTTCTTTAAAGCTACGCAGCCACAAAGGGTGTCGAGGTAGTAGCCCAACTAGCATGAAGTGTTGACACACCTCTGAAAGTACCTTGACTTACTGGTTCTTAGTAGGGAATAATGGAATATTATCATTATATCCCTTATTCTACAAGGTTCCTGAAAATATTTTTAAATTCTGTTACCTGGAATCCTAATATTTAGCTGAAATTATAATTTCTACTGGGGTTCCAAATCCCTTAGAGTGTTCCCTATGAAGAACCAGTAAGTTGAGTTTTTTCTCGCGCAGAGGCCTTCGTTATGGCGATGGCTTGCCGAGAGGGTGATACCGACTTTGAGGCGCGATCCCGGAGCCTTCCCTACAGGTGCTTAAGGAGGAGTGGGGGAGTGAATATAGGCACCACTTTAGGGGTATATGGGGATTGATTATATAGGGACTTTTATAGGGATCCACTCTCCGGCCCTCCCTTGAGCACCATTAGTTTCTTCAAGTCTTGCTTGTCTGCTGAGCCGCTGATGCCATCTCACGTCCAAGTCAACTCCATGTGTGCGGTGCTTTGTCCGCTTTGCAGTTCTCAGCAGTGCGAGAGAAGGCATGATCAGCGCTTTCAATTCGGAAGATAGCTGAAGCATCCCCCCCCGCAACAGAAACACGCAAAGTCTCTGTCAGTCATTTCTTCATGAAGCGAGCAGTTTTCGCAGGTAACTCGGGGGAAGGGCTCAGGCTGCCATGCAGTTAGCAGCTCAACCACGTGGTAGGCGGAAACTTATGGTCAACGCAAAGCTTCATCACGTTAATTTCGGGAAGATGTGTTTGAAAGCATTGGGTTTACTCTCAGCCAGTGTTCGGGGGGAGGCCAAAAGGTAGCGCAGTCAAGGGGGTACACGTTCACAGTCATGCCTTAGCTAGCTCCCGGCCTATCCAACTCAATTCGCATTGCTGTGTAAAGTCGAGAGATTGAGGGCCTTCTGCAGCAGTGGAGACTCAATTTGAAACAGCTGTGCGGAAAATTGGAACGCTCAATCAACGTAGATTTGAACAGTGCATGTCATTGAATCAGCACTGTGCCATGGGCTCCACCATGTTGTGTGTCCATAGAGCGCAAATATTGCTGCTCCTCTTTCCTGCTTCTTTGCTCTTCCTGACATTTGTGCTATTTGTTTGACGTTTCATCTGTCACACAAATTAGGACCCAGAACTTTGGTGTGCTAAACGGCATTTTTTTCAAGCTGCAGGCTGCGAAGGCCTTGGAGAGCGCCTGGGCGTTATTTGCAGAAGGCGCCGCAGGCTCCAGCATCCCGGTGAAGCCTGCGCGCAGCAGGAACAAGATCGTGTGCCTTGAGATTCTGTAGGGCTAAGGGATGGTTTAGGGTTGGTTCATGGGTTTTGGGTTTAGGGTTGAGGCATTGGGGCTTGACAGGTCTATGGATTCTTCCTTCTGCAGTAGTTCTGGTAGAGCCAGCATGCAGTTCTGTGCAACTCACAGCTTCTTGCCGGCTTCCGAGTGATCTCTGGAGCTACATTACTGCAAACGAGACCTGCAGCCATCCAGGTACCAAGCCCGGAGCGATGATGAGCTGGAACCAGACGAGAACTTGGAGATCATGGAGATCACATGTGTGACTCAGGCAGCTAAGCTTTGTAGAAGCATGAGATAACACTACAAGTCTTCAAGTGCCAGGTCGTGTGTGTACTGAGAACATCAAAGCATTGTGACACTTGTAAGCATTTCTGCAAGTTCTCGCCAAGCCATTGGCCAATTAGTTCAGCCAGGGCCGATATGGGATTGGTATCAAGATGTATCAGGTTGAGTTTGGAAGGTCTCGGCTTCAGGACTTGGAGCTTGTATCTCCCCAAGCGCAAAGCTACCAGGGACACTTGCACAAGCATTCTGATGGCTGGGACATGGCCCGATCCAAAAGAATGGAGCCCAGGCCTCAGCAGACTCCAAGCAACTAAGCTTTTTCCCGTTGAGGTGAGCGAGAGCTCAGCATCATTTGCTCGCAGTGATCTACAGGCCAGGGGGAAACTTGCAGGTCTGTACAAGTCATTTCAACGTAGGGCTCAATCTTGTAATTTCTGGGGTAGATCGGTAGTATCGCAGCATGAAGTAATCCTGTTCCCAGGCTGACTTGGATGTTTTCACACAGGCATATCTCCTTGTGCGATGCTCTTCACCACAGGAAAACGCAAATAGGGGACGTAACGGTGCGGCCACGACGGGTGTCGAAATGGTTTATCTAGATGTCACCTGGTTTGTCCGCATGTAGGAACTTGCTTCCTGAAGATTCAAACTTTGAGATAATTTTGCTGGCAGCCAACAGGACTCATTTTCACAAACCACATCATCGCCTTGAAACATGTCAAAGCCTCGGCATCGCTCCATATGTTCAGGAAGAGGATATCGAGCCTGGTTCCCAGCGTTGGAGTTCCAGCAGCAGTGGTGTGTTCGGAGCGAGTTCTGAAGAATGACGCGGTTCACTCTCGAGTCACAATTCCTTTTGATGAACAGCCCAGGCCGATGTCTGTCACAACGCTGGTGATCTCACAAATTCCCGAGTACGTAGATGCAGATGTCTTCCGGTGTGACTCTCAGCCTGGAGCGCTTGGGGGCAAAGAATCAGAATCACTTCCATGCTGAGTGGCCTCTGGACATGCTAGAGGCACTAGGCATGCTGAAGAAAACAAGCTGTGGCAGTAACGTGCAAAAGGGCACTGGATCACTTGGATGCCTGCAGGACCCAACTGGACAGGTGGGGATTCCATGGTTCGTACGACTTCCTGTACATGCCCCCGGCATCGCAGCTGCACAGAAAAGCAGTGAAGCCTTCATCCATGTGACACCATTCGCTGACGCCCAAATGGGATCCTGCGATCTTCAGCTGTGCAAAGGAATCAGCGTGTTGGAGCGGCAAATGCGCGTTCGTGAATTTTGTGGATCAGGCGCTACCACTGCAATCTATTTTATTTTAATGATCTAAATGCCACGAGCCTGCAACAAGCCCGCATCGCATGAGCTTCCAGAGTGCTGCCGCAGGGGGCCGCCAGCTCATGCTCAAGCGGCTATGCTGCATCTCAAGGATTTAAGAAGTTGTTTCGCAGTTGCCTGGCATGCTGAGGCTACTTCCAGCACCCTGGCAGACTCGGTATGGAACAAACCCTTTGAGAGGAGCTGGGGTTTGAGAGCCAAGGCAGTGCCCAGCTGCAGGTGCAGCTGAGCCTTACTACATCCAGGGCTTGGAGAACATTGTCGCCCACTTCAGCCAGTTGCTTTGGCGGAACGTGGGAGGGGCGGCTTGCACATGTTCACAGCGTTTTGATGGCAAGTCCTGCTCAGCGTCTGTACATTCAGCCTACATATTACTTAGAGTGGGACCTCTGCGCTGCAAGGCTCGCGGGTGCTAGCAATATGGTACCTGCGATGGCATCGCTGCCTGCGCCACCTTGGGCCCTTGCACAGGTGCCGCCGCGGCGGCATGAAGTATGAACAAGAATCTTAACACTTGCGGTTAATTCAGTCGGGTATGACTGGCAAGTTGGGGCAGGTGACGGAGGACAGGCGGCCGTGCAAGGCCTCTCCTCAGTTGCTCGACTTCATTTCAGGTTAGATGCGTTGAAGTCAGTGCCTTGCCTGCGCGCTGCATTTTCCATTCAGGATCCGGGGCCAGTTTCACAAGACCAAGATGTGCTCTTTCCACCTGGAGTGCCTTGACTTCCATGCAGGTGCGAGATCAAAGTGTCTTTTCCCAGTCATTCCCAAGCCAGGAGCAGGTGCACTGTGGGGCGAGCATGCCCCTATGCGCATTCCAAAGAAGAGCTCAACTCTCCTCCGGACCTCTCTAAAACAAAGCTTTGTGCACCCTGCCTGCAAAGTAGATTTGAATTGCAAATCGAATTGGGCCAATTGTTGATGATGCTGAGGTCGACTTCATGCGCAAGAAGCACTTGCCTCAGAGGATTGGATCGCGACGTCCAAGCAAAGATGCCGAGCGCTTCATCAAGCCCTCCGGTCTCAGGTGCCACGATGCCAGCTGCAGATTTGCTCACGGGCCCTGGAGCTCAGCCAGCTTTGTAACTCCTGGAGGTGTGGTCTGTAGCAAGTAGTGCTAGAACAGATTATGCTCAGGAGGCTGCATAGTCAGTTGTATTCAACATAACCTACTTGCGTCATGAAGTGGAAGTTTCCCAAAATAATGGAACCCCAAATCAGACCCCCAAATACTATACTCTTTATTGGCGGGACCCAAAAGGGTTCCCTTAATTTTGGGAAACCCCCAAGAGACGTTTGTGAGGAGAGTTGACCCAAGCCAATCCAGGTTCGCGGAACTTCGCGCCACGTCTAGCATCTACAAGACGAATCTTTGCGAGAAGTGGTCAGCCGGCAGCTGCAAGGCTTGCACCCGCTGCCGTGCCACTTGCTGGATTGTGGGAGGGAATGAGCCGGAATGAAGGAGTGCTACAAAATTCACACGCATATCATTTGGGATTATCTAGGGGATTCTGCAGGGCGGATGAGACTTGCAGCTTTCCAGAAGGGATGCCCGAAGGAGGGCAGACGCCGGTGGTGAGTTCAGGGTCGGATTTGCTTTGCCTTTGGAAAAAAAGGATTCTTCAGGGGTCCATTTCCTCCATTTCCTTCTTACAGCCAGCAAGTTAAGAAACGTGAGTCATGCGGGTAATCAGTAGCTACAAGAAAGTGTGTCAGACAATTATAGCACATTATAGCCATTTGACAGTTGTTCATTATCACACAAACGGTGCTGTTGATGTGGATCCCGACAGCTACTTGGGCAGGACCCTCTCATCCTGGGCCAGGCGGGAAGAGCGTGCCGCTTTGCGCACGGTGAGGAAGAGTTGCGGACTGGCATGCAGCCCAATGCGGATGACGCGCTCCTGCCTCAACACCAGCAGCCGGAAGATGCCCCAAGTCTGGAAAAAAAACAGCCAATATATATAGTGATAATGGAAAAGAAATTGGAATCTACTATAGTATATTGGGGTCATATAGAGTTATATAAGTTATATAGGGATATAGTCCCCCTTAAGTTGCAAAGCAAAGGCCACCGGATGGCAAGCTGGCCGCTGATGACGCGCCCTTGGAAGGCCAAGAAGTGCTCCCACCGTTTTTTGGTGCCTCAAAAGCAAAGCCACGCAGAAGGCACACATGTTTTCGAAGGTCCTATCAATTGGATGCACTGCTGAACAGACGGCGGAAGAAGTGCTGAGAGGTAGAGAGCATTCTGTACGCACACGTCAGAGGATCCAGATGGTAGGCATTGACCGATCATACTGGACAGGGTTTGTAGCAGGAGCTCAATGATTGGGGTAGTCGTTTCTGCAGCTAGTTCAGGCTGTGGCATCATGACAATCACAATCGTAAAGTGTAGAAACAGCAGGGCCCAATGCAGCTGTCAACCACGCGGAAAGCCAGAGGTACATGCGCAAAGAGGCATAGTGGCATAGTTGCTTCCGGAGGTTGTTTGGAAACGGTGTTGACACCTGCAGGAAGTCCGGCAGAAAACAACGACATCGACATGCGGGATCATGAGACGGTGCAGCAGCGCCCGGCAGTGCTTACCTCAGCTGCTTCGGGAGGCTCATTGATACACCATGATTTTCAGCGGGCGTGAGTTCTAGCTTGTTATGCAAACCTGCTTTCACAACGCCCAGCTATTCTCCTGCTATGAACTTGGAGGCTTTTAGGGTTGAGTTTCAGATTCAGAGTCCACTTGCTTACAATGCCACTGAAGACCCTCAAAATTAAATTTCAAGGCTGGCATCGGGCTTTCTCGGAGGGGAGCGGGATACAGCCAGTCAGTGGAAGGAGCGGAGATCAAGTAAAAAGTCGAGATACTTGCACTTGCTTCAGCGGGTCTTTGTGGGACATGACTGTTCAACCCCCAAGCAGTATGTTTGCTGTTGCAAGAGCTTTCGGAACGTTTAATCAAACGTAGGGGACGTTGATTATAGACTTGCCCTGCAGCCCTAAGAAAAGTAGCAGTAGCGGAATGGACCCCTCTCAACATCTTGACTTTGGGACCCCGATTTTGGACCCCCAAATACTAGAATCCTCAATTCCCCTAATTTTGGGAAATCAGCAAATTACCGTAGATGATTCGTCTGAGGCCTCCGAGGCGGGTCCCGTGCGACGCTGGGGGCGGGCGAAGCTGCAAAGCTGATTCTTGAAAGGTGCCCAGATTGCATTATCCCATTATAACCCCAATATATACCCTGTACGTAATCCCTATAAAATCCTACACAACCCCTTATAATCTCCCTGTGGTTTCCATTTTATTTTCTGTTATAATTAAAAGGCGCCCAGATTGCTTGACAGCTCACCAATGGTCTAGAGAAGGGACATCAATTGAGGGTTTTGGGATTAAGGGTATAGGGTTCATGGTTGAGAGTTGAGGATTTGGGGTTTGGGTTTAGGGTTTCTAGGTAGCCTTGGAAAGCCTGTCCAAAGTCATGCAGCACTTTCAATTGACCTGAGGCGAGGACGTGCTGGTTTCACCGCCTCCGCGTTCCTGTGGAGGTTCGCCATTGACTTAATGCTGGGAGCCAAGTTAATTTTTCAGGTGTAGCAGCCGTACAATCACCAAGAATGTTCGCTTGGTTTCCTTGTAGATTTGCAATATAATCATGTGTTGGATACCCCACCCCTATCCTAAAGTACTTTAGGAGAGCCAGTTCCTGGCTCTCATTTCGTGGGTTCCGAGGCCTTGCAGCATTGCAAGCTGTGAGCTGCGCAGCCTTCAAGGACCAAGCATTTGTGGTTACGGTGAAGCTTTGCACAGCGGTGTAACAGTGTAGCAGTGTAGTGCTAGAGGCTTGGCTTTGTACCAAAGCTTGACATCTAGGACCAGTTCGGTGTGTCCGAACTTGGCAAAGTCAAAGCCGTGGGGTTCTCAGTTTGCGTGCCAGATGCTCTCGAAGCTAGTCCAACCTGTCAGTTTGATTCAGAGGTTCCTATTGCAGAGCTAACTGAGCCTCCAACAGAAGAGGCAAAGGAGCATTGCAACCTGGGAGGCTTCTGTAGCAAAAACCTGCAAAACTGCAAAACGACCTTCTACATGAAGGCCTTGTACAGTGGACAGAGCTGTAAAGGCGAGACTGTTGCAAGCCTTTGGCTCCACCACCAAAAAGAGGCAACTGCAGGTGTGCTCAGGCACATATATGGGGCTTTTCCAAAAAACCTAGGGCCACCATATTGCTGTGGTATTTTGGGGTCTGTCTTGAGGTCACCCTCATTTTGGGAAACAACCGTATAACGGTATGCAGGGCAAATGAGAGACGTTGGCATCATGAGGCCTTGCCTGCCATATATGTGTGTATATATACACATATGAGCTATAGTCTGACCTCCTGAAGGAGGGTCCTATAGTGGATTGTATAGGGGACTAATAAAGGGGTTATTAAAGGGGATGCTAGGGGTTTAGACTATAACCCATATAATCCCCCATAAAATTTCAGTTTCCATTTCATTTTCCATTTTCTTTTCCACTTGATTCTCCATTATTAAGGAGGATTCTAGGAGTTTAGACTATGGCTCCTATAACCCCTCATAGTAGTATCCCAATATAACCCCACTATAACCCCTGTAGTTTCCATTTTGTTTTCCATTATTCCCAATATAACCCAACCCTAAACCTCATGTCTTCTTGGAGCACCTTCACACGGCTCCTTGCAAGATCCAGAAGCCAGAGACGAGTGACCAGTGATTTCAAGAGAGCAAAAGCAGGTGTATTACACATGAGCTACTTGCAAGAATGCTGCCGGAGCAATCTAGCTGGGATGCATACTTCGGAACCTTGGAAGTTCGCAAAATGCCCGGAGCTGCTACGCCATGGACGTGCTGCTCCTGCGCTCGGCAGGAGAGTTGCAAGGCTTTTGCTGAGCTTGGCTTATGCGGCACAGGTTTAGAAGGTCTGAGCCAAGGCAGAACTTTAGCGCCCGGAGTTTGTTATTGAAGTTGGGCATGCCCCGTTGCTACCAACTTGATCAGGGCTGGACAGCCAAAACTACCTGCCGCATGGTTTACGGTCCTGCAATTTGTGTGACAGTGCAACTGGTTTTTCAGTTTTAGCACCATTTCAACCGTTTCCAGCACCTAAACAAAACTTATCCGTTTTTCAGGAATGTTACGAGACTTTCTTTTTTTTTTCGGATGCAAAGAAACTTGAGCGGAAAATTATGCACGAGGCATTCCTTTGGCATTTACCTGGTTCTTTGGAAGCTAAACATGCACGCGGGGTGGAATCTTTATGTTTTTTTGAAGTTTCGTATTTAGTTTCTTCTCACTTGCTGAGGTTCTTTAGGTGGTCCATCTGTTTTCTGTGAACAGGTCACTGCCTGTCTTCTGCCAACGCCTCTCGTAGCTGCGTGCGTCCTGCCACGACAGCTTGAGATCTTGGCCAACATGCATGTTCGTGGAAATCGCATGCTTCGGCAGCGTGGGCCAGCGTGGATGTTCGTGGAACACGCGTGCTCTGATACCACAAATGTTATTATCCTGGCCAGCATGGATGCTTGTGGAAGCCACATGCTCTGGTAACACGAATGTTATTATCTTGGCCAACATGGATGCTCGTGGAGACCACATGCCCTGGCAACAAAAACGTTTTTATTTTGTCCAGCCAGCATGGATGTTCGTGGAAATAGTATGCGTTGGTAACACAAACTTGATTATGTTGGTCAGCATGGATGCCCTTGGAAACCACACTGTGTGGTTACATGAATGTTGTTCTCATCGCCAGCATGGATGCTCGAGCAAAGCGTATGCTCTGGTAACGCGAACGTTATTATCTAGGCCAGCATGGATGCTGTGCAAGCCGAATGTTCTGCTAACACGAATGTTATCACCTTGGCCCGCATTTCATGCTTGTGGAAACCGAATGCTCCGGTAATACGAATGCATGCCGTTGTCATGCTGGACTCAATCAATCGTTGTTATATAGGGACTAAGAGGGCATTTAATGGTGTGATATAGAAAGTATAATGCTGAATCAATGAATCAAGGTAATGTATCACGCTCGCGTGTGGCCCCATCTGAGTGAGTGCTTGTATCTACTCGCAGCTGCATTCTCTACCCTTGTCAGAATGTGCAAAGATTGAAACACATCCACCCTGTTGTATGCACGCAGTTTTTCGTATCTTTTCCACCCCTTTGTGCAATGAACGAAACCAGACCCCGTCCCACCTAATTAATACGCATGTGCTACAACCCTACTGGTTGCTGACAGAAGAAGAAGACATGTTCAACTGTCCTGCCTTGCCGAACGTGTCCACTCCCGTGTGATGAGTTTTGCTGACTGATGCTGATGTGGAGAAGGAAGGAATAGGACCCACAAATGCCAACCATAGCATTCGGCCTCATTGCCATGACATCGGCATGAATTCATGCGGCGTTGAGTATTAACGGCTCTTGTGGGACCATAGTCTGTGGGCGATCACGACGCATCTTTCTACGCAGATCCACATAGCAGCATGAATGCGCGAGGAAGTTGGAGGACGCCCAATGCCAGCAGCCGTCTTGCCCTGCACCCCGGAGCTACGACTTGATGAGGTGTTGACCTTGGATGCTCTTCAGTATCTGTTTTGTTCATAGGAGGGGCTCTTGAGAATGCAGCAACGCAGGTCTTGCTCAAACCACAACAATCTAGTGTGACCTTGTTGAGGCTAGTTCTCAAGCCATGTCCGTGCTGGTGTCGAATCTGGCTGGAAAAAAGTTGGCTGAAGTGGCGCCAGTTCCAAGAGACGTTGGTGAGTTGAGGCTTGAAGTCGAGCGGCTCACGGGTATCCCAGTTGCTCTGCAGAAGTTTGTGAAGGACGGCGATGTCCTCACGTCCGATGCAGGAGAGCTTCCCCAGGAAGGCTGCGAGCTTCTGTGTGTCAGGGATGAGACACCAATGTACACCTGGGATGTGGAAGGAAACCCTGATGCAGAACAGCTGCAGGCAGAAGGCAACGTCCTGCGATCACCCAGTATGGCACATGATTTCTGCAACGTGCTGACGAAAGAGCCCATGCGGACGGGATTGCACTACTACGAGTTTGTGTTGCACAAGGTTGGAGACGAGCAATGGTGTGGAGTCACGGAGTCCAAAGAGGTTGCTGGGATCCGCGTGGATGGCCGTTCACTGCCTGCCTGGACGTACTATGCCGGACGCGCTGGCCAAAGCGGGGGCAGTGGATCGATTCACAATGGGCTTGGTGCCTTGCACGCCTGCAGCAAAGCGGTTGTAGAGTTTGAGAAGGCATGTGACCCTGGCAATGTCATCGGTATGCTGGTTGATATGGACAGGCGCGTCGTAGCTTTTGCCTTGGACGGTCGCCTGCAGGGGGCTTGCAAGGTACCAGGGGATGAGCCCTTGTATGTCCTCACTCACATGGACACTCGAGAAGATCACGTTGAGTTGAGGAAGCCTTCGCTAGAAGAGGCTCCACCTGCAAATCTTGAGGCCCTCAGTGGTGCACTGCTTGATGCCGAGAAAGGTGAGGCTGTACATTGGTGAGAGCTTCGCAACTGTGAGGCCTGGCAGGCTGTTCTCAACAGCAAAAGCACGACAAGTCGTGCGTGGACATGGGCCTCGCAGAGCGATTTCCCCTGTCTGCACGCACAGCCACGTAGCCTATCATCCATAGCCTCATTGCCTTGCTTCGTTTCAAAACTCTTCGCGAGCCCCTGCACTTCTGTGGCAGGAAACTGCTTGTGTTATTCTTGAATATTTGCCAGCGCTGGCATTCTTCGCAAGGGCCTTCGGACAGTTCCACCGTGCTGAGGCTGCTTGTGGTACCTCGTCGTGTGCTGCCGGCGGTGGAGGTGCTGTTGAGCTGAGCTGTTAGGTATTCTAAGGTATCCTACGCTTGAAGCCGCTTGATCTCAGGACAGTTCTGTTGCAGTTGCGCAATCCAAAGCCCGGCTTCCCGCAGCTCGTTTTCGTTCAAAACAGGGAGAGGTGTGCAAGCAGGAAAGGAAGACTCTCGGAAGACCATGAGTTGTCCTCTGCATGTGTCACCGTTCATGCGTGGGGCTGCCTTGCAGTCTCCCAGTGTGGAAGTACGCTTCAAGCTGGCAGTTGTGCCCAAGGCCGCGACTCAATCTGAAGCATCAGAAAGTGCCACTGAGGATCCTCCGAAGGATCCTGGGCCGCCCCCTTCGTCCGAGGTGGCGGAGGTGCCTGTGACGGAGACTGTGGTGGGGAAGCATATCCACCAAGAGGCTTTGCGCCGCTTTGGCTACTTCAAAAGCTTCCAATCCTTCCGCAGCCTCGAGGAGATTGAGGGCTCCGTGGAGGTTTGCCTCCCTGCCTCAGTTGGAAAGTCAGACATCGATGGATTTGTTCAGTTCCTCTACCAGGGTCGACTTCCATGCCACTGGCGGGAAATCTACGGTGTTTGGTGCCTGTGTGATTTTCTGCTTGCTCCAGACCGCTGGCGAACGACTGTACGCAAGCGCTTGCGGGAGGCTCTAAAAGGTCGGGAGGACATCGAAAACCTTTTCAAGCTCGCTGAAGGATCGCCGGAGATGATGGAGTTTTGCCAGGGGTTGCAACGTGTCATCGACGTGGATGCAGGCTGTTGACTGAAGCTTTGGGGACCTCGTTCCACAGTGTTCTGTCCGGTGCACATCATGTCATTAATCATTAAGGCTTTGTGGATGGTGCATGTTTCTAGGGCGGATCTTGTCACAGGTGAGCTGGAGCAGCTGCTTCACATGGCCCTGCGCAGCGAGCCCGAAAGCGAAACTCGGGAACGTGTGAAGGGCATCGTGGCCGCCAGCCACGAAACGCAGGCCGTGTCAGCTCTTCTGGCCGTCCGGCAAGATCCCGACCCTCGCTTGACAGTATTTACCTGTAAGATTTGTTACTTTCGGTGAATCTCATCGCATCCGAGGATAACTACACATCAGCTCGGCGTCCTATGCCCAGAATGAGGCGGAATTTCGTCCATCACAGGATCCCGGCTCCTGACCATGGCCTGGACCTTCCGGAGCCTGTTTTTGATCTCCGTTGCCATAGCGAGCTCCTTGACGGGGAATTTCTGTGGCTCTGGAAACAATTGGTCCCTCATGTAAAGGTAGCTTCTGCGGCCTCTGTGGAGCACTTCCGCGCGGTGGCCAAGTTCTTCGCATCTTTCTGGTCCCAACACGTGAGCTGTGAGTGCACCATGCTGGAGCCAGAGGAGGGCGGCTTCCGCGCTGTGAAGGCCACGTGTGAGGTCCCGCTGATGGCCATCTTCCCCCACTCCCGCTGTGAGCCGCTTTGCGGCGCGCTGAAGAAGATGCTCCTGATTGGCTGCAGGCTCCTTGCCAGCGGCCACGTCACGTCACAGGAGCTCCTGGAACTTCTAGACTCTGGAGTGACCAATGGTGCCTCAGCAATGAGCGCCTTGTCTCTGAACCACATGATGCTCTGCGAAGTCTTGCACGCGGTTCCGGGCATGCACCGGAGCGCTGTCCGCAAGCACCTTCTAAACAGCAAGACCTGGGCAGTGTGGCGCCGGCGATCCCTCCAACCTTCTTGGAGAGATGATGACGGTCAAGATGCACTCATGTCAGCATTGCTGGACATGTACTGATTCTGGTGAAATAGCTCTCACAGCCGGCAGTGTACAGTCTGCCCACCAAAGAGGGACCGTCAGCTCCCTGAGGTGTATGTACAGTGGGATTCGGAGGGCTTTCGTAGGACTCTTGCAAATCGCCAAGCCCAAATAACGAGCTTCATGAGACCAACAAGGGATGTTGAAACTTGACAGAGTGTTCTGCTTGCAGGTTCCGTTCTCAGTGACAGAGGGGGCAGCTAAGCCATGTGGCTGAAGCTCGGAGCTTCGAGGCCTCTGATTTCCGTTCCTGCATAGCATCCCCTCAGAAGGAACCGTTGCAAGTTTGGAGGCTTTTGGCCAGGGAGCGGTCTTTGAGAGCGACAACATAGGGATGACCCCAAATTAGGGCTACCATTTCAGGACCCCTATAAGGATTATAGTATTTTGGGGTCCCTACAATAAGGATTCTAGTATTTTGGAGTCTATATTGGGGTCCCCCTATTGAGGAAAACTACCACATCAAGAACGGGAAGGATACTATCTGGATTCCTGGGACGTTCCCTTGTAGCATGTTGATGGATGCAGAAGAGCGTAGTTTTGAGGAATATGCAGGAAAGAATCTTGTCTTGCTTCCCGAACAAAGAAAACCGGAATGTGAGGCCCACATCGATGGAATTCTGAACTCAGCCTCTCAAGTGGATTGCTCTTGGGATCCCGTAGATGCTCGCAACTGTGCCTCACTTCTGCTCTCCGATGTGATGCATTTCACTCAGAATCTCGTGAATGACGCTTGCGAAGATCTGCTGCACATGTTCTTTTTTTGACACTTTCACAGGCTCCTCACCAGGCAATGCATCGGCTCTGCCTTGACAGGAGCATGTCGGACTGTTCTTGTTGCCTTGTGTGGTAACCCTTGAAAGACATTCATATGCAGCTGGAGAGTAAGTACCAGACTTGCAGACCGGCATGTGTTTTCGCCGGCTGGGTAGGCTTCTGGCCAAGGTAGGGAGTTGAGACATGTAGCCGCATCGTGAGCATTACGTATTGTTGCTGCAGTCATAATTTGTGGCGTTGCTATTCATTCCCCTTCCCTGCGAGTTAACGTCATGAATTGCTGCGCCTACGGTTTTGGCTGTGCTTTCCTCGAATAAAATGTAGTACAGTATGTCATTCCTGGTCAGCTTTTCTTTTCGATATGCAGTATCAAGATCTTAATGATGCTCCATCTTTTTGGTTGATGTGCTGATCCTAGCAATACACCTGCTAGACTGCAGCCATGCCGAACGACATGAAGGGTCGGCTTCATTTTCTATTTGGATCCTTTCTGGCATTCACAGGCGGGCTTCCTGATCACCGTGAAAACATATCCCTCTTCATCTTCCTCTGCTGCCTGGAGGCATTTTTGGGGGTTTGCAGTTTTTAAGGCATGTGTGATCGCATGATTCGGCACGTGTGACTGCACGGAAGATGCCATTGCCTGTGAGCCGGCATCTACTTAAGTCGTGACCTACAATGCTCTCGATTGGACAAGTTGGGTCAATAGGGGGCGCCCCTTCGGCGCATCACAAGCCAACTGTAGTAAACGGACTGAAGCTGCTGATGGTGGGCGTTCTTGCAATGCCCAGGTCAAGCTGCAGGTTCAGAGTATGACTTGACAGGAGCACCGTTGCCCAAACACAGGACACAGATCATGTAGTTATCCCAGCCATGGGCGGAGCGCAGTTGGAAGGCCAGGAGTCGAAAGCAGATCGAGGCAAAGCAGAGGAGACGCTGGGCTCGGAAAGCGAGGACTCCCGAGATGAAGAGAATGGGGACATTGCAGCTGCCCAAGGGCAGGAAGAGTCCTTGCCACCACAGCGTATTGTGCTGGTGGTGATGATCTGCGTTATCCAAGGCTACACTCTTGTAGGCCCCTTGCAGCACGCTTTCAAGCAGTCCCTGCACATCAGCGATGACAGCCCAGAGGGACGCATTTTTACTCAAGCTGCTGCACTCGTCCAGTGGTTCAAGTGGAGTATGACGCTGGCCCAAAATTTTCTGCTGCAGTGTCTTTCTCCAAAGGCTCGCGTTTACCTGTCGATGGTACTCATGATGCTGGGCTGCGTGATCCCACCTGTCTGCATATACTCACTTGGACATTTGTGGATTGGATGGGCATTCCTTTCTTTTGGCTTGGTGGGGATGTCACTTGGAGTCTTTGAGGTTGCCTATCTGAACGTGATCACCCCCCTGGGACCACTGACAAAATCATGGGCAATCATTGGCTTCCCCGCATCATTTGCAATCATCAACGTGATAGGATTCACACTGGTCTCCTTCGGCATGCCCGTAGCCGTGCTGTTTTGGTATATTGTTCTTTGCATGCCGATTGGCCTCATTGTCTTTGCAAAGAGGATTGCTCCCAAGCTCCACACGGGTTCCACAGATCCTGGACCGGCAGAAACTGGGCATGTGCTTCGGAACAATCAGCAGGCCAAAGTATGGAACTCCATAAGGCGCTGGTATACCTGGGTGCCCATCCTTTCCCCATACATCCTGGCGCATTTTGTAACAGATTTTGTGATGGAAGGTGCTCTTCCAGCAAATTTCAACACTTTCAATTCCGACAAGGTGCCACTGCTTGGCCCAACAGATGACGACCACCTGATGGACAAACACAGATTCTTTGTGGTCTTCTTCATCTTTGTGGGTCTCAGTGACATGATCAGCCGGCGGTTTGCCTACTGTTTTGCTCTGGATACCTTAAGCAAGAACATTGTTGCCCTGTGCTTTGGTGTGACGTGCAGTGCGCTGGGCATGGGCCTCACCATCCTTGGCATTGGAGTAGTTAGTTGGGCCTCTGCAGCCCTAACCTTCTTCGGTCAAGGCTTCAACTACGCAGTGGCTTCCAAGTCCATTGACAAATTCATCCCCCGAGAGCACAACCTTGCAGCTTACTCACTTTGGATGTTTATTGGGAGTGCTGGTGCCATAGCAGGCAGTACTCTGGTGGATTACATCCGATCCTGGATTTGTCGAGGGGAGGTCTACACGCACCAGTGCCTCGCGCATGTCCAGGGACATTGAAAACTGCCTCCAGTGCAGACGTTTGAATGTGCCTTTTGCTTCCTTGAAAATTGCCCATGACAAGGATCCTCTGTACAGAGTCTCTTTAGTGCACATCCCCTGCCTCGAGCAGTGGTGGAGAGCAAATCTAGGACAGGGACACACGAGCCTGCAACAGTTGGGCTCATGTGACACCAGATCATGCTTGACGGAAAGTTTGGACACCTACACCAGCCTCACTAACATAAGCACTACTTCTTGCCTTCCTCGTCTTGGACGTTCCTTGCGCACCAGCAGAGTCCCGTGATTAACCTTACAAGCTGACCGTCCCGTGGCTCGCGCATGGCTTTCTTCAGAATCTCTTCGGGCTTGGCTGCGCCACAGTTCTCAGGGATCAAGCCACACCTTCTCTGGAGGGTTTGGTTTCTAGCTTGCTAGGATGCTTGAGCCACATGAGCACGCTTCTGACAGAACAAAGGGGTGAACCTGAGTTTTGATGTACGCCAGGCCAAAGTGGAGCCGAATGACTGCTTGAAAGGCTTGCGCCGCTTCGAGGCCAGGACGTGGTAGGATCCTGAATCACGCCTCCCAAGGAAGCGCCTGTAGTCCCCAGCTCTTGCTTTGTCTCTGGATGTCTTTGGATGTCGGATTTTGGTGCTTGAAAGAGCCGAACGTATTGAATCTGTTCGTATAACTTTTCCACCCTAAGGAGTCTAATGAAGGCTTTAAGTTGAGAGGCTGCGGCTCACCGAATGGGCCCCGAAAGCAAGCATTGAACGCAGTTTGAAGATCACATGTCTAGCGAGTCTCCTCAAGTTGTGCAATGTTTGCTCAGCCCGCGCCGCTACACTCCGCAGCTCTTGACTCTTGGTGCCAGGGGCTTGACTCAGTGCTGGCCACGACAAGCCTCTTGGTCAAACTTGAGATTGATTTTCACAGAATGAGTGTTCACGCAACAAGAACATCTCTCAATGCCAGTGCGTTGCTACTGCTGGAAAATTCTGCAAGGATTGCGCTAAGCTAGCTCTACTTCTGAGAGCTGCACTTGTTAGTTCACAAGCGCAGTAAAGAGAGACGGTTGCAGTCGAAGCCCATCTTCAAGAAAGCTTAAATATCACGAACAAGAGCTCCAGCACCCAACAGTGTGCGTAGCAGTCTGGGGTCCAGGATTGAGGGCTTCGGGTTGTCGTGAGTGCAAATTCGGCAAGTCCGAACATTAAGCAAAGCACAGCACAGGGGTGTGAGAGTTGGCCGGCTAGTTCTGGATGCTTTTGTAGGATCCTGTTCGTAAGATGTGGCTCGCGCACAGGAGAACACGTATTCTCTTTGGCTGCCTTGCGTGTATTTTCTTGAAAAGTCGGGGCTTTCTGAAGTGGCTTCTGGGGTGTCCGAAGCAGGACTTCAATGCCAATGACGTCGAGCTGCTATCGCTGGAGCCAAAGGCCGGCACCCCACAATTGTATGCGCATGTATGCGCCAAAAGACCAAGTCACAAGTTTCCCAGCATGAGCTAACCCAAGCAGCAGACTGGTGGTAAGCAAACTAATGCCGGTGGCACTTTGAGAAGGCAATCGGCCCTGGGCTCGAAGACCTGGATTTGAAGGATAGCAGGCTGGAGTTGGGCAGCCGTCCTGGCTTTGGTGATTTGAACTTTTGCACGAGGGCGGCCCCCATCCTGGCAGAAGTGTGGTTGTTTGAGTGTCCTTTGACTCCAAGCCGTTAGCAGCCTTCGCTTGAACGCATGTCTTACATACTGCAGGCGCGAGCAAATGCCCCACCCTCCAATTGGAGGCGGTGTGCTGACCCATGTTTGATTCACACACGCATCAGCGGCACCGCAAGTCATGGCATGCTGCACTTATGGCACTTTTGGATCATGATGAATTTCACTTATGGGGCTATAAGCGGACCTACTCATAAGTACTGGATGTAGCCTCTTGGTTTGACGGCCATGGGAGGTGGCGTCCACGCTCGGTACTACCAGGGGTTTA